ACGCTATTTTAATATATAAAGGTAGTTGAGTATATCAGAATAGAAATTGCACTAAAATGTGTAAATTATTCAAAATTTACAGACTATTTTAAATTTGAAAGTGATTGAGTTAATTCGATGAATGAGTAGAAATTAGAAAATCATACTATCTATTTATTTATATATTTATTTAAGGATTAATATTAACATTATCTTAACTGATTATCATAAAGTAAAAATCTTACCCTCTATTATTGTATATGAAGAAGAAGTATAAGATTATAAAAATAATCAGAAACATTAGGAAAATACTTGCTGTATTGTATTATTTATTACAAAAAAGGATCCATAATTTAATAACCATAAACATAATTGAGTCAAATACATCCTATTTTATAAATAATAGAAATCAAAAATCTCATTCTAAAAAATATTATTTAAGTTATAAAAATATTTTAAAGACATTTGGCCTTCTTAGTTAACTTTTTATTTGAGAATTTTAGACACTAATTTAAAATAGTTAAAAGCTTAAAAAAAAATAAACACTGTTTAATTATCAAAATAACATTTTCAGTTCTGAATTAATCATTAAATAAAATAACTATAAAATATTCTTTTGAATATTGTTTTATAGAATACAAATAAGTAGGGTCCTAAAAAAATACTCTAGTATTTCAAATTATGCTGTCATTTTTTTCACTTACTACTTTTTCTTAAAACTTTCTGTATTAGAATCAATTTCGAACCCTATAGTATTTATTATTTTACTAAGTCAATATTTCTAACTCAAGAAACAATTTTGCGAGAATAGCTATAAACAAATTTTTGATTTTGAAAAATTTTATTCTTTTTCTTTTTGTGCTTTCAAAAGAAAATTATATGATTCTATTTGAAATCATGCTTCTCATTTTTTGGGTCCCAAATAAGTAATGCTTAATAGGAATAGTTAACTTAAAAATGCTATTTGCTTTGTTTTGTTTTGTTTTGTTTTGCTTTTTGCATTTAATTAAATAAAGTAAAAGCTATTTTATTTTTAAATTAAACTTATTAAGATTTCTATTTCAAGACAAAATAAAAATTGCCAGTTTTATCCTTAGTCGTAAATCAAGTAATTTATTGTTTCTTCATACAAATGATGAAATAAATAAATTACTTGGTTGGTTAATTGCTAGCTTATTAATCAATCTTTATTTGCTCTTGATTTTGCTAATAATTCTGAACGTCTGATTTTTTTTCTATTTTTTGATTCTAGATTTAATCTTCGTGACCTAATACTGGCTATTTCTAGAAAACCTATTAAGAACTTGCTTATTAATTTGAAAAAAAAGGTTAAATATTCTATTTTTAATTTCCCTATTTCTCCTATTGATTTAACAAACCATCTATTACTTTTTACATTTCCTTTATTTATTAGTTTAATTCATTAATAACTGCCTCCTATTTTTCATTAAAAAATTAAAGCAGATTAAACAAATATCTATCTTTATTAAGTAATAAAATCAACATGTTTTTATTTTTATCCATCAATCTAAGAATTGAGATATTAGACTAATTCCTTTTCATTTTTACTTTAAAAAAATTTATTTAATATTTTTATAAAAGGAATTAAAAAAGTACATGATTGGGTAAAATTTATTCTCGAAACCCTGAACATATTCAATGTCTTATCTAAACTATCTGATGTATTACTGAGCTTCTGCATCATCCATAACTTCAATAAATTTGCTTTCTAAATCAAATTCAAAAGAAACAATTCCTTTTAATACTATTAAAGCTTCTTTAACCTTTAACCTCTCTCTTGGAATGAATTTTGTCAATCCATCAATTATGTATCGAAGCTATTTCTCATAAGCAAGGTTTTAGAAGTCTGCATTATATTGCAAAGGTTGGTGCTTGCTAAAAACTAAATTCGCTTAAAATCCTGAAATCATTGTATATAACAAATAACCTATTAACCAAAAAAAAAAACATTTACAAGAGATACATCTATAAATTCATGAATGATTCATGTGTATATTTCAATAAATTACCTAAAGAACATGCTTCACTCTTCAAATTAATATAATAAATTTTTTAAATATTTATAAGGTTTTATCTATAAAATACTCTTTGACTTGGATTTTACTGTACAGGTACTCCTAAGTTCATGTATTCCTAAGAGTAAATATCAAATTTTGAGGGATCATAACATTCTGGAGCTTGGAATATAACATTTCCTTTCTTTAGATGAATTAATATAAATATAAATAAGTATCATAGCTTCATTTCTTATTTTGAGATGTAAAAAGGACTTTACATAATTATCAAAAGCATATCCAGATTATTAAGTGAGATTATCTGCAAATCCAAAATCAGCTTATTAATTAATTAATTAATTTTATTAAATTTAAGATTAGAATAATGCATTTAATCAAATATCAATGAAAGATTTACAAACAACTGCGTTTCCATTGTAATCAATTAGGATATTATCCATCTTCAGATCATTAACTAAGCATTTCTTAGAATGAATAAAGTAAAGACCCTCTGCAATATCCTTTGTGTATTTAATAGCAGATAACTCATTCAATCTTTAATTTTAGGTATTCTTAATAATATCACTCAATGTTCCTATTTTTTATCGAGATATTCCATTTAATTTATGCATTAAGAGATGGATGCTATAAAATTTTGAAGGTAATGAATGATATATACCTAAACATTCGGTAAGGACTAAGAAGATATAATCATTTCCTTCTATCTTGTGTAGAAGATTGGCTACATAAGGAGAGCCCTTGCATTAATTGAGCATTTAGATTTCTTACTAAACTTAACCTAAAATAACTTGATCAACATTGTCCTTTGAATCTTTAATAGGAATTCCTTTGATAGCATACCTCTTGTTAGTTGATTTTTCCTTTGCTAA